GAATCTCTGGCTTTTAAAAATGCTAATACACAATGCAAAAGGATAATTAGTCTGTTAAAGATAAGATCAGCATCCTTAGAAGGATGGATCTGAGATAAAATCAGTATTGAATCTCATAACCATGATGATGCTTGGATAGGAGAGGTGATTTCCAGAAGTCTGAAGAAAAATTGAAATGTCAATTTCTCAATTGTGGTAAATGAGGTCACCTAAAAAGGGATTATAAGCAGCATTTGTAGAAACAATGCTTTTTTCTTTCTAAGAATAATCTCAACAGAAAACTCCTCTTTTCTGGATTATGCAGAAGGTGTGGCAAGGGCAGGCATTGGAATAATGAATGTAGATCAACAGGGGACAGACAAGGTCACCCTTTGGCATCATGAAATGCCCCATGCCAAATTCGGTTCAGTCATTACCTGTCATCGTGGAGGAAAGCAACCTTAAAGAATAGCAACCTTTGAAGTCTCCAAAAAGATGATGGGGTCCCAGAGTGATGATTCCACCTGCACTATGATAATGCCACTAATCCGACAAACACCACCCAAAGATCAGCTTTGGACTACAAACTGCTCAGGACAATTTCCAGGAGGCTAGCTGAGATGATTCAGCCTCACAGACCACTCTAGCCAGGACTTGAGACAAGCCCTGCATTTTCCCATTATGCAGAGACTGGACAACAAATGATACAGCTACCTCTCCCAGGACTTGACACCCCCAATTTTTCTTTGCAGGCTCCCCTAAAGATGCCATTGCCCCCAGACAACAGGAAGTAATTTTAAGAACTATTGAGAGTTGCTGGTAGCAAAAGGCCATGGAAGTATACAGCAGATGACAACTAGTGTTCAAAAGGTCAATCCACCAGAATCAAGGATTCTGATGGAGGGTTAAACCAGAATGCAGGGCATTTTGGAATTATTGCCTTTTGAATGAATTGGCTGTTTCTTGTTGTAGATTTCTTGTGCAATTACAATATGATATCTCCCCATTACCATGCATTTTCATAAAATGTGTATATATAATCTCATGATTATATCTCAGTCTTATGGGCACATATATCTATGGGTGGTCAGGAAGATGACTTTTCATTCAGCTGTATAATTTTGATATGTAGAAAATATACTAGGATATGTTTCATAGCCAGATCCATGGTCCCACAAGACTGTAGACACTTAAAGACTGCTTTATTC